AAAAAAACTTACAGATTCAGCAAGCAATTACAAAGAACAATCAACCCATATCCTAATTCAACTCAAAGAAGCACAGTACCTTATGTTCTAGGCAAATCCTATAGACTCGATAGCAGATTCAGTTACTCGTATTACCTTCTGTTGAAATTTGGAAATGTTTGAGATTATTTAGGTATATTTTTGGGTAACAAACCTTAGTTTGAACATGTGTACATTCCTTGCGAATGCAACCGTGTATACAAGAACATGGCTGATAAGTTTGTCTTTGTGACTTGCCAGGATTGGAGAAAGGTTCTAAGGACCCAAAGCTGGAGAAAGTTGGGAAGGTAACGATTGAGCAGTTGCGGACAATTGCACAAGAAAAGTTGCCTGATCTGAATTGTTCAACTATAGAGTCAGCAATGAGAATTATAGCCGGCACTGCTGCAAATATGGGGATTGACGTTGACCCTCCTGTTCTTGAACCAAAAAAGAAAGAGCTCGTGTGAGCCTTGAATGGAGTGGAATTGCATTCAAGATTAGTACATTAATTTGTTATATCACAATTTTGTTGTAATAGTCGTGGCACTGGATTAACTTTAGAAGTATGTGATTGCTGATCTTGATCATTAGCAGTGTCAGAGTAATTGCAAAAGGGAAGAATCAACATAAAACCAAATGTGCAAAATTGATTTATTTGAAAAATATAGGGCGGAAAATGAATTTGAGGAAAAATGGTTTTCAAAAAGTTGTGTCAAACAAATGTATAATATCATCCTTATCTTTGAAACTAAAACTGAGATTACGATGGATTTCATTAAAAATATGAAAATTTCAAGAGTGTGTTACATGTATTTATAAGTTAGAAATTCGTTCGAATCTTCTTATAATTGGGTATACTTAAATTTGGAAAAACTTTTAAAATACATTAAAATCTAAACCAAGGACACGTTCATGTTCATTCGAGGTCCACAGAAGAGATGGGGATAGGGTTGGGTAGTGAGTCAGACAGCAAGATATTTGTAGTGGGACAAATTGATGCTAACTATATAAGGGTGAAAGGGACGTGGATCCAATTTCTCATTAATAGCCCATTATTCCAAACGAATATAACAGTATTCTGTACGAGACAACTGAAAACGACAAATATAATCCACTCATTCAAGTCCTCTCACCCAAGTCAAGGCCAAGCAACATTCCGAATTTCAGTTGGGACAGTGAGTGCCTAATCGCGCAGCAAATTTCAGTTTCTTTGAAGAAATATATGTAATATCATCTCACTTATGCAACTCTTTCCCCACGGATTTCCTGCGTTTTTTCTTCTTGTTTTGATTCTATATGATTTATTTTTTATTCAGTTGTGATGCCTCTGTGTCGACTTTTCATGTTCCCTTTTGGTTGGCTTATACTAGCACGACATATGCATAATTTATAGACGTCATGAGTCATGAAATATAATACTTTGTGTTATATATACATGATTTAGAAGTAATGGCTGCAGTGTATTGTCTTTTTTCTGATTCTTTTGGGTACTTCTATTTATGTACACGAATATATTCACATAGTTATTGCTTGATAGTTCAACGAGGTCTAAGTCTCTATTTTGTTGATCATATTTGAAATTGCAGGTATGCATGGCTACTTTTTATTGATTGATTTATTCTTTTCTCTCTTATTTGCATGGCTACTTTTTATTGATTGATTGATTCCTTCCTCTCTTATCTTGGATTCAGATGCTAGAATATATATGTTAGGGATTGGTTTGCTATTTCAAATTAAATCTTATAATCATATATGTGCACACACAAGGCAACAATCAGATTAAGATATCAGACCCGTCATAAATTTCTGTCCACTTTATTTTGGAATCATTCCCTTCAGGTTTACCAAGTGATTTCATCTCCATCCTTTTAAGTCACCTATTTTGCGTAGTTATTGTTTATTTGTTTTATATATTGAGTTCCTATTTTGTTTGTTGGCCCATTCCCCCTTTTTATGGCACTTGATTTAAGTAAATAGAGAACTTATTCCAGATGAACTGGTCAAGATTTACTCGATTTTGTAGAAAATCTACTGGTCTTTAGTATTGTTTTTCAGTGGTGTTTTCTTGATAGATATGTATGGATGTTGAGCTTCTTCATCACACTTGATTATGAGTAAGCTTTGAGACTTTTGGTTTACTCATGATTTTTCATGTACCTAGATGGATACGGAAAATCCAGATATTGGGCATGCTATTGAGGTATGCACTGATGTGCCAACCACAGAAAGGGGCTTTGTTGGAAGCAAGGGATGTGGGGAGGCACCATGTGGTTTTGCTGACGCCAAAACCATTTCTGCGGATGCACATGAGCGTTCAGCGTCTATAAGGAAGCTTTTGATTGCCGTTGTGTTGTGCATCGTTTTTATGAGTGTTGAAGTTTTTGGGGGTATCAAAGCCAACAGTCTTGCAATTTTGACTGATGCAGCTCATTTGCTATCTGATGTTGCAGCTTTTGCAATATCTTTGTTTTCTCTGTGGGCCGCAGGATGGCAAGCTAATCCACGCCAGTCTTATGGTTTCTTTAGAATCGAGATTTTGGGGGCATTCGTTTCAATTCAATTGATTTGGCTTCTTGCTGGGATCCTTGTCTATGAAGCCATTTATCGACTTATACATGATACAGGCGAAGTGAAGGGCTTTTTGATGTTTTTGGTTTCTGCATTTGGATTACTGGTCAATGTTATTATGGCTCTCTTGTTGGGACATGATCATGGTCATGGCCATAAGGTTCACGACCACAACCATGACCATGATCATGACCGTGACCATGACCATGAACATGTGCAATGTCATGGAGTGAGTGTCACCCGGCATCACCATCATGAAGGACCCTCCATATACGATGAAGACCACACCGAGCCTTTACTCACGAGTTCCTCTGAGGGTAAAGGTAAATCAGAAGGCAAACATAAGCAGAAGAAAAGGCGAAATATAAATGTTCAGGGGGCTTACCTTCACGTGCTAGGAGATTCCGTACAAAGCATTGGGGTTATGATTGGTGGAGCAGTTATCTGGTATAAACCAGAGTGGAAAATCATTGATCTGATTTGTACCCTCATTTTTTCTGCAATTGTGCTGGGCACTACCATTAATATGCTACGAAATATTCTTGAAGTTCTTATGGAGAGTACTCCCAAAGAGATTGATGCAACAAGGCTTGAGAAGGGTCTTTGTGAGATGGAAGAAGTTGTTGCAATCCACGAACTGCATATATGGGCAATTACTGTGGGGAAAGTGTTATTAGCTTGCCATGTCAAAATTAACCCTGAAGCTGATGCCTACATGGTGCTGGACAAAGTCATTGACTATATTAGGAGGGAATACAACATCAGCCATGTAACAGTCCAGATAGAAAGACAACAGATCTGACGATCGAGATTTCTCTCGATGTTAAATCTTCGTGGGTTGGGGGACTTATTAAACTTTTCGATTCATTCCTTAGGAGATCAACTTTCAATTTTTACCAAGTTTGGCTTGTCTCTTTTTATTTTATGCTGTGTTGTTTTTAGTGGGAGTGAAGGATACTGTCTATGTTCATTATCTGAAAAGCATACTGGACCTCTATTAACCTGATGTGTATTAGAGAACCTGTGGAACATGTAACATTGTTTTCTATTTAAGTTGTGTTGGGATGGAATACTGTAAATTGAACAGTTGCTCAGAAAGGTTGTAAAATAATGAAAGTATGATTAAGGATGGTTTTACTGTGTCGTCGAATGTGAAAATTGCCTATTCAGAGAAGTTGCACTCAATTGATATTTGCTTGTAGTTTTACCATTGTTTCACCATCGAGTATTTATCCATGACTCGACTTTGTATTCCGATATCTTGGTACTTCATTATCATAATTTGTTTTGTTCAAGATTGAAAAAAGCTTTATGGTTCATGTTCATGTTCATGATCATCAAATCTGATTGCAGCTTACTTGTATGATTGATGTTACAGCGGAGTTAATGCTATTGATTAATGTTAGCTACTCAAGGAGTCTAGTATTTGGAATGGTGAATCTCTCATATTTTCTTTGTAAATATACGCATAGTGCCTGGGATTCTTTGCTGGTTCCATAGGCCTTGATGAATGGAAATCTCCTATTTTCATAAACTTAGGGCTTGTTTGAAATAGCTTATGCTTCTACGAAGTTGTTTTTTGAGAAAATTGTTTTGAGCCAGCTTTTCTAAAAACTCTTCCATTTAGACCCAAAAAAAGAAAAAAACAAGGGAATTAGCTATACATTTTATCAATATTATCCCAATCTGTTAAAACTTTCATGAAAAGTAATATCTAATTTAGAGGAGATGTCACTGTCACCTCATGATCATCACTTGATTTTTAGTTTTGTTTTCGTTAATTTTTGACACAACAAACACAGAAATTGCACCGTACAGATGCTACCAATGCTGCACCTGTATCATTTTTGTCAATAATTTCCTGTACCTATGGAATTATTCCTTGATTTTTGGGTAAAATAATCGATGAATATGTTATCCTTTTGTGTTTATGACAATATAATTTTCAGATTATTTTATATTTAGCATGTTGTTTTTAATTTTGAATGACCTGTTGCAAAGTCCAAATTCTCGTCGTTTGGTCAGTAGTATTATGAAGAAATAATACGATGTCGGACAAGCTAATGTCTTTGTCAATTTGAGGAAATGTCCATTTCGGACAGAAATAGTCCAAAATGATCTGTTTATTCTGGTTGCGAAACCAATATGTCATTAAACAAGTCTAAGCGTTGGGAATGGAAATTGTGGATAAATATTTTTGTTCTACCAAACTGTTGTGACAAAGATTAAGAAACCTAAAAACTTGAAATCTGTCATTGCTTAGAAAATTATCCAGACATTAGCAAAGAAAACAAAATTAGGAGAGACCAAAAAATTGTGAGTCAGGCAAAAAAAGCTTCATCCGCTAACATATTAGGTCATTGATTGATTTGCAAAAGTGAGAAAATGAAATAGAAAATAAAGAAAATTACGACCTTGATAATTTGATGTGATTGAATTTAGAAGGATGGTATGGGAGGAGAATGATAATGAAGAATCGAGAAATATTCCACATTACCACAAAGAAGCAAGCCTGTGATTAGTCATAATTTTCGAGTTCAAATCCGCTGTTCAGAATTAGCCATCCAATTTGCTATTCACCCAGTGATTTATTGACGCATCACTTTAATTTAGCATATCCAACTTTTCTCTTGCTACCACTTATAAGTGGACAACAAATCGCCCCCCGGGACATAGTTCAGTGGTGCAAAGGATGTGAGTGAGGTTATTTCATGCCTTGTTGGCAGCCGCAGTGTGGGGGTTTGATTCCTGAGATATGAAATTGGACTCATTGTAGGCACAATGTACATACAGTTGTTGTTCCCTGGCCTATTGTGGCACATCCTGCGATTTACCTCCCTCACAAAACTCTAGGGGCCGGACGATGGGGGCTCTCAAGGTCGGAGTTCAACCATTTTTTTTTTTTAAACAACATATCTCAACTCATAATTGTACTACCTGCATTCCATTGACACCACGTCCATATCTCAATTTCATTTAGACTACCTTAAAGCTTCCACGTAGGAGTGTGAAAAGTGTAGTGGAGCCCAAAGGCGGGCTCCCAAATTAAATGAGAAGATCTTCTCATCTTTGTCCAGAAGATCAGCTGCTGCTCATCCTTGGCATGATCTCGAGATTGGTACATTATTTTAATTTCATTATCATATTAAGCTATGTTTGATAGCGGTTAAAAAGAGTTTTTTTGAAAGAAAAAAGAGTTTTAGAATAGTAATTTTTTGGATTTACACGTAAATTTATTATAAAACTATATAATTCAAATTGAGTAAAAAAAAAAAAAA